AAAACCAACCCATAGGCTAGACCCTGCCTTGTTGTAGTATATGACCCATAAGCTAAGAATGGTTTTACATAAAACCAAAGAAGAATATGCAACCAGGACTGCAAATCCTGAAACAGTTACTATCTGCCGTTCCTAGCTAAGAATGGTTTTACATAAAACCAAAGAAGAATATGCAACCAGGACTGCAAATCCTGAAACAGTTACTATCTGCCGTTCCTGCTACATTCTTGGCCTTTGGCCATCCATGTGACTTTAAAATTAGTTTATTAAATTCTTTGAAAAAATCCAGTAGGTTTTATTAATTTGAATATTGATTTGGGAGGAAATTGCTATCTTTCTAATTGTTAAGTGAAGTCAAGTCAGTTTTGACTCAGTGACACTGTATAGGGTTTCCTAGGCTGTAGACCTTTGCGGGAATAAAAAGCCTCATCTTTCTCCCACCGAGTGGTTGGTGGACTCGAACCACTGACCTTGTGGTTCTCAGTCGAGTCCTGAACCTGAAGCATCATGTCTTCTGCTTATCTCTGTATTCTCTTAGTATACTTCCGAGGATCTCTAATACCCCATGGAATCAGATTAAGAAGAGGTGATATCCTTGTCAGATTTTTAATGTTACAAGCAATTCTTCTAAAGTTCCAGCAATAAAGACGTTTGCTATAGTTTATTGGAATTGTTGTTGTTGTTGTTAAGTGTCGTCGAGTCGGGTCCGACCCATAGCGACCCTGTACAGGGTTTCCGAGGGTGTAAATCTTTACAGGAGTAGAAAGCCTCATCTTTCTCCCGCGGAGCGGCTGGTAGTTTCGAACCGCTGACCTTAAGGTTCGCAGCCCGATTCGTAACCACTACGCTACCAGAGCTCCTTATTGGAATAGCTGCCATTTATCAGAGCTGTTGTTTAAGCGTGTTTGTCTTTATCTGCTCAAGAAATGTGCTTCCTGAACCTGAAGCATCATGTCTTTCATCAGTCAATGTACCTCTGAATATTGTTTCTTTTCATTCTCTCAGGAGTACCTGGGTGGTATAGACAATTAAGTGTTCAACTCCTAACTGAAAGGTTGGTAGTTTTAACCCACCCAGAGACACCTAATGACAATAGCTGTGGGTTTTGGTTTGGGGTTCATTCTCTTAGTTCTACTTCAATGGACCTCATTTTTCCCCCTTCAAGTTTCTTTGTTTTATTACATCTTTTTCCATCTCTATGCCACATTCTGTTAAACTTCCTCACATTTCTCTTCTGGTAACATGTATCTGAACTTCTGTTTGAACCAACCCATGGAAGTTTTCACTTTGCTGACCGTATTTTTCTCATTTTCAGATTTTTGTTTTTTCCTATTCAAATCTGCCTTTTCTTTTTTTCTTAGGAACTTACTCAAGTCTATGCTTTTGGGTCCTTATCTTATCTCTGTAACAATTTTAAACACTTTTATTTATGCTCTTATCAGGTTCTTCTTGTGTCTGAAATTCCTGTAATTTGTTTTTGTTACATACTAGAGTTGCTACATACCAGGATTAGAGTCCTGGTGTGCCATGTAGGCTAAACATTGGATTGCTAATCACAGAGTCAGTGGTTCAAACCCACCAGCTGCTCCTTGGAAACCCTATACAGGATCATGATGAGTCCTAACCGACTGGGCAGCAATTAACAGCAACTACAGATTTGTTACATCTGTTGCTCTGTTGAATCGTTTTCTACAGTGTCTTTTAGTTTGGGGTTGGACTGTGCAATTAGTTTCTTCAGTGCTTTAGACTGAGAGAATCTTGTTAAGCCTCCTTGGGGCTGAGTCTCTTCAGAAATGGTTTTTCATTTGCTTCTACAAGGCTATCAGGGATATCACCGGCAGGGTTTTATGGATTGGATTGTGTCCACTCAAAGTATGTGTCAAGTTGTCTAGGCCCTGGTTCTCAGCATTATGTAATTATTCTCTACTTTATAATCAGATGCAATTACCCTGTGTGCTGTAAATCCTCCCCTCAGAAGTTACTGAGGCAGGATTAGAGGCAGTTATGTTCATGAGGCAGGATGCAATCTACAGGACCAGGTTGTATCTTGAGTACATCCCTTTTGAAAATGTGGTGGTGGTGTTGTGCCGTGGCGTCAGTTCCAACTCACAGCGATACTGTACAGAGTTTCTGAGGCTGTAAATCTTGAGGGGAGTAGAAAGCCTCATCTTTCTCCCGCAGAACAGCTGGTAGTTTCAAACTGCTGACCTTGAAGTGAGCAGCCCAACTTGTAAGGGATTAAATAAGCAGAGATGAAAAGGATCAGCTACCACAAAGGAAGAAGAGCTGGAAGCAGAGCATGTCCTTTGGACCCACAACCCCTGCACTAGGGACCTCCTAGAACCAGGAGACACACAGAAGGAAAGCCTTTCCCTAGAGCCCAGACTCTGAATTTGCACATGTAACCTCTTCAACTGTGAGAGTACATTTCTGTTTGTTAAAGACATCAACTGGTGGTATTTCTGTGATAGCAGTAGCACTAGAGGACTAAAACACAAGGAATTAAGTTTTTGAATGAATTGCTCATCTTGGGAGTTCCTTTATCATGTGAGAAGTATAAATTTAAATCCCCAACACTTTGAGAGCTGACTTGTGATGACTAAGTCTAAAACTTTTCTTCTTCTATTTGGATTCACTCCAAGCGGAAAGATAAACTTTCTTGCTTTCTCTTGGGTTGGTGGACGGATTGTTTTCTGGTCTTTTCTTTGCCTGGTTAGTGGTCCTCTGAGGATCCTGGCTCTGTTGGGGGCCTCAAGGTCAACTCTATTCCTGTCCAAGTACGGACACTAAAGCCCAAACCCTAGGACCCCAGAAAGGCAAGTCTCCCTAGCATAGCACTTCCTTCTACTCTCAGAGCTCGTCAGTTTTAATTTGTTACTTCCCTGGGGTCATAGGTATACAATATGATATTTATTTATTTTATCAATGGTTATAACAACGCTATTTTCATAAAGTCCCGATGGCAGGTGATGGGGACCAGCTGCCACCAGGACCTTAGTGGTTAAGAGAACAAGCCAAGAGTCACAATATACTGAATTCCAACTTGGCTTTGCCTCTTTTGATATCCTTTGGCAAACTTACCTCAAATGCATTTTCATCTGTAAGATGGGTATAATAATGTGCTTATCTCAGAGGTGGTTGTGAGGAAGAAGGTGGAGTAAACTGCTTAGCCCCTCACCTGTGAGGACCAGGTGTAAATTGCTTAGCCTCTCACCTGTGAGGACCAGCACTATGAAGGTGTAAGCCATCACCATTATTTTGGCCCATGTATACTTACGCATTTTCTTGGGCTGCCTCTTCAGCTTTTGAGACCTTCCTGTAACAATATACCATCTCGATGAGCAGCCACAAGGTGAGGAAGACGAGAAGGATGTACATCATGATTTCTGAGACCACAGAGGTGAAGTCCTCTCCAGCTGCAAGGGGGAGAATGAGCCTCAGAAGATGTGTGTCCAACAAGTCCAGAGCTGTCATTGGTTTCATTTTGAAGGGAGCTTCAAAAGGTTCATTATCTTTTTATGCCATTTTCCCATGAACCTTTGGAAGCCCCCTCACAAAGAGCCCATTTTTAGATCTGGCTTCAAAAAGACTTTTTGTTTTCTGATTTGTTGTTTTTTTTAGGAAATCAAGAAGAAGGAAAAGGATTTCATATTCATGAACTCTCTGTGTCATCTTTCTCTCTGACTTTCATCAGAAGCTCTGGAGGGAAGAAGGGATGAGGGAGAGTCATGAGTGAATGAAACACAGTAGAACAGTGGAAGGAACTCTGGCATCAGAGTCAGGTATACGTGGCTGGTCCCAATTTTGCTACTTACTGGTGTGTGAATAGTCATTTCCCTTATTTGACATTCAGTTTCTTAATCTGTAAAGTGAGAATAATAATTCCCATCAGTCAGAGTTGTTGTGGATGTTCTATTACCTAATGAGGAGTACTGTCTGAAATAATGCTTGAAGCTGGGGCAGGGTCAGGCAGGATCTTAGTCTAATATACGTAAAGGTTGCCATGAGTCAAAGCCAATGCTGTGGCAACTAACTACAATGTATTTAAGAAAATATTGTGAGATGTAAAAATCTACATGGATATAAGGGATATGCTTTAGTTCAACCATGTATGTCCTCTGAATCTATGAAGCATGATGGAGGCTGCTATACTTAGGGATAGGATATTGGAAAACATGAAGGGCCAATACTGACTGCCCACCCAGTAATTTGGGCATGCTCTGAAACTATATTATGAACAAGGACCTTCCCAGTTCATCTTCCACCCCATCTGTAGAACAAGAGCCATATTTATCTCAAACCCAAACAGAAATAAGTATTGCATGATCCAGTGTATTATTAAACTGCCTCAGAGTTCTACTTTTGAAACACAGAATTGATCCTGCCATTCCTCCACTTAAAACCTTTCAGTGGTCTAAACTGTCCTCAGCATAAAGCCCACACACCATTATGATATACAACGCCTTTCACCAGGCAACCCTTCTCGCTTCGGATCCATACAGTTGGTCAGCAAGATGTTTATTATACAACACACTGTAGCCCTTGGGAATCTGTGGATGTTTCTTCTTTCCGGATTCTATCTCACACCTATTTCCTCTGCCTCAACATTCTATCATGCTTTTCAGTTATCTGAATCATTCTTCTAGACTTGACTTTAGTTTCCTCTGCTATGAGATTTTCCTTAATTTTTCATGTAGAATTCTCAATAGCCTTTCTCCATGTGCTTTTTCTATCCCTCCATCCACCCACCCACCCACCCATCCATCATAATACTTCTCAAGTTGTATTGTGATGTGTTTTTCTCTCATCTCTGCTGACTTACGTATGCTTATTGAAAATATGTCTCACTCATATCTGAATGATCAGCCTGCAATCTACTAGACTATTTAGGGCTCCAAATTCATATTTGTTGAATTAATGGATATGAATAAAGAATGGTCTTTGTTTTATGGCCAACAAAAAATGACAAAAACAGAACATGGCAAATGTGCTGATACAAAAAAAAAAAATCCAAAAAAAAAAAAAAAAAAAATGTGCTGATACATATACTCTTCCCTAGTGGGAAGAAAGTTTATAGCCTCCTTGCTCTATCTCCTACTAGCAAATCAGGTTCATGATCCATAGTTATCCAGAGGCCCCAAGGTACCTCCAAGGCCTTGTTACTAAAAACCCAGCATAGCCAGCATAGCCAACCATGACTTTAAGCTGAAAGAAGCAATCTAAGGGCTCCAAGATCATTCAAATTTCCTAATGAAATGGAGGTCAAAGAAACAGTCTGAAGCACATGAGAAACACTACACACCTCAAATGTCTTCTCATGGGCTTGCTACCATCTGATAGACCATTTGAGGTATTGGTTGTGTGGCTTAAACATACTGTCTCTTTTTAAATGCAATAGGAACACAGGAAGCTGCCCTCAGTGTTTTTCATCACCTCAAGGTCAAGAGGCCTCAGATTTCTGTCTTAGGGCCAGGGGAAGAGAACCTAAACCAAAATAGATGCAAATTTAAAGAGGAGATGCTCTGGGACCATAGAGAGGGAGAGGTGGGAGTGGTGGCTCTAAGTACTTGAGTAAAGAGTATCTAGTGGGGAGAGCTCAAGGAGTCACAGAGACTCCCCCTGACGCCTAAAAGAGGCAGAAATGGGGGGTGGTGGTGGTGGTAGAAGAACATAGTGCAGTGGAAATGGAACCATCCTGACAAGGAAAAAAATGGAATTCCAATCCTGCTTCCGGTACTAACGTGCTTTAAGACTTCAAGCAAGCCCTTTACCTTCCAGTATTCTGTTCTCCCATTCATCAAGTGAGGAGCACTAGTACTTCATCCTCCAATTACCTGAGGAGTCATTTTCATTTACAAATGACACACTTCACCTCACACTTGCAAAAGTGTTGCCAAGTCCTCTATATTTGGTTAAAGCCTCATGAGTGATTCTGATGCCCGCCCTTTGTACAGAACCTCTGGTTAAATGATATCCACACTTCCTTCCAGCTCTAACATCTCCAGAGTCTCTAGGTCTCCAATAACAAATTTGTTTTCCGTCTGTTCTTACCCAAGGCTTACCCTGGTGCCTGGGAGACAGACTGGCTCAGCTTTGCTACACTTTCCACTGGCTGCTCACAAGAGTCCCTGGAGGCACAAGTCTGAGCCAGCAGGAGGTGGAGACAGAAGTCTCTGGCCAACAAGTTCCTGACAGTGGCCAGTAGAGGGCACCTGGCTCGCTGCCCCAAGGGAAGTTGGTTGATTGGTTGGTTATGTGCTGTGGAGTTGGTTCCAATTCATAGCGACCCTGAACTGGGTGTCTGAGGCTGTAAATCTTTATGGGAGCAGAAAGCCTCATCTTTCTCCCGTGGAACAGCTGGTAGTTTCTAACTGCTGACCTTGGGGTTTGCAGCCTGATTCGTAACCCCAGGGAGGAGAGATGTATAAACAGAGAAAAGGATAATGGAACAAATGAAAAGAAACCTACCTTTCAGAGCTACTTGTCCAACCTCTTTGTTTTAAACAGAGGAGACATGCTCAAAAAGGGGAACTGACTCATCCGCAATAAAATTCGTGCGGTCTGATAGTTTTTTGCACTTTCAAAATTGACCTGTCTCCCATTTTACTGATGTTGCCTGACATATTACATGTCTTTCTCTGTTATTCTCTCTCAAGTATACCTCAGAATATTTGTTATAAGAACATGATAAAAAATAAACTCACAGACTGGAAGTCAGAATTCCTAGAATCCTTTTTCTAGGAAAAGCCCTAACCAACTTTAGTGAGGCCTTTTTGCTCATGTTCCACACCTGCTCACCACCCTACACCTTGGAGCAGCAATAGTGCTAAGAAAGTGTTGGAGTTAGATGTCTGAGGAAAGCTGAGTAAATGGAATCATTATTTAGCATGGATGAGGAAACACAAAGGGAGATGTACACTTCACTCTTGAAGCAACATTTTTCAAGCGCCTTAAAGCCCACTGACAACAGAACAAGACCACTGAAGAAATAAAGAAGTATCCTCCAACCCCACCTTGGGACTCTTAGATTTGGGGTACAGTAGACACATTTGAGTCAGATTGCTGGAAGGATTTCCCATCCTAGCTGTGGGATTCTGAAGACTTTAAACAATACAGAGCTATCAATGATTACCCTCTTCCCATTGAGAACAAGGTTATGTAATATGAGGAGAGGTTGCCTGTGTGATTAGGGAAGAGTAAGACAAAATTTGGTTTAGACTACTGTTTCTCCAAGTGTGGTCCCCAGACCAATAGCATCAGCATCCCCTGGGAATTTGTCAGACATACAAATGCTCAGGCTTCATCCCAGACCTAACGAATCAGAAAGTGTGAGCTTTTTAAAAAGCCCTGCTGAAGATAGTGAGGCTCACTAAAGTTTGAGAACTACTGATGTATTGCTTACAGGCATGAGGATAGATAGCTTTCATATGCTCTTAGGAGCCACTGAGTTGGTTCTGACTCATAGCCACCCTGTATAAGGTTTCTGACACTGTAAATATTTAAGTGATCAGCTGGTGGGCTCAAACTGTGGACCTTGGGGTTAGCAGTCCAGTGGTTATCCTATAGAATCACAGTGCTCCTGACTTAATGGAAATTTCCTTATGGAAATTCTCTGAACCTACTGAATTAGGGATTTAACACAGGCCAGAGAAGAAGGTGTAGCTGAGTTGGAAGTTTTAAGCTTTGTAGAGGTTCTAAGGATACTAGCTATTCTATGATCATCTCCAAGCCTTTCCTGCTTTGTGGAAAGGAACAGAAAGACAAGTTGGTAACTAAAGGAAAATGGGTCCATGGTGACCTATTTAAATGTCACTTCCTCAATACATGGGTTTTTGTACACTCTAAATGTCCCATTTGTGTGGAAACCCACTGTTTTCCCTCCCCCAAGAACAGGGCACCCTCAGGACCTGGTGGCCCAGCCTCACCCTCCTCAGTGACACGGAGGGGAATAAGCTTCGAAGTCTTCACAAAGGGACGATGTGCCTCAAACTCAAATTTCCGGGACACATTGCAGGTATAGAGGCCGGAGTCATTCAGGGTGACGTTGAGCACAGTGATAGACACATCCTGCAGATCCTTGCTCCCATTCCACTTCAGGCGTCCCTGGAAGGGACTCTCCACCTCCTGATGGCCATTTCGATACTCGTAGATCTGTGGATAGAGAAGCTGAGGAAGGTAGGGCCAGGAGAGAGGGTCACATAGAAAAGCAGAGACGGGTCAGAGAAAAGGAACAGAATTGTGCATGGGCAGAGAAGAGAAGGGACAAGGTTACATGGAAACCCAGAATGCGGGGTGAGTGGGACAAGGAGGAATAGACGAGGGCAAGGAAGAGAGAAACATTAGAGAAGTGGGCAGAGGCAGATACGTATCATGATGTATGGACATGGCAAGGGAAGAGAAAGAGAAAAAGTAGGCAGAAGTTTGGCAGAAAAAAAAGAGGTAGAAAGGAGAGCAAAAGAAGGTGAAACTTACAGGCGTCTAGGAAATTAAGAGGAAGAAAGAATTGGAAGAAGATAAAATAGGAGAATAAGAGAGAGAAAGGTGTATCATGGGACAGCCAGTGAGAGAACAAGGTACAGAGACCAAGAACAACCATAGGTGTTGTCTGACACCAACATTTAACTCTCCCAGTTGTTACTTACTGAGGGGGATGTAGAGTCACCTGGGCCAGGTCACAGATGATCAGAGAATTGCAGGCTGTTATGTACACATCAAGTCTTTTACTTTGGTGTCAACTATAACTGGAATCTGGTCTTTAACTTCCTTTTCTCAAACACTGCTGCCCTCTGAGACCTTTTATTATGTTGTTCATTCTGGATGCTATAAGCCACATGTGGCTTTTTTAAAACTTGAGTTTAAATGATTAAAAATGGAATAAAGTTTAAAATCCAATTTCTCCATTGCACTAGCCACATTGCAAATGCTCAGTAGCCACCTGTGGCCAGCAGCTACTATATTGCAGAGCACAGATGGAGGGCATGGCCACCATTGCAAGAACGTCTACTAGACAGCACTGCTCTGTACTGCCACTGTGATTCTTTAACGTTTCTTTTCTTCTTTCTGAGTCACCTTCTCTTCACTTTGGGCAGGCCTCGAAACACTACAGGTAGCTAGTAGATTACCAGGACTGAGGCCCATCTGGCCACGACATGAAATGTGCCAGCTTCACTGATATGACACTGTCAGGCCTGATCCAGGCTCTATTAAGTCTCTACTGGTGCTCTTCTTGGTACCTGATTGACATAAACCTACATCACAGCAAGACATGCATTCAGATTTAGGATAGCTAAGAGAAGACTGTCACCATACTGCTGTCTGCATTAAAAGTCTCTGTAGAAGAGGAACGTGCCCTTAGCAAGGCAGGGTGGTGCAATAAAAAGTACCTTGAATCTATTGTCTAATGACATGGTTCGAATCCTTCTTACTAGCTACTTGACTTTGAACTTAACTTCTTTGAGCCTCAGTCAACCTCATTTATGTATGTATGAATGTTAGATGCCATCAACTCAGTTTCAACTCATAGTGATCCTATGCACAAAACAATGAAACACTGCCTGTTCCCGCATTATCCTCACAACCATTGTTATATTTGAGTCCATTGTTACAGCCACTGTTGGGCATCTTCCTCTTTTTCGATGATGCATTGCTTTAACAATCAGGATGTCCTTTTTCAAGGACTGATTAATAACATGTCCAAAGAACATGAGAGAAATTCTTGCCATCCATGCTTCTAAGGAGCATTCTGTCTGGACTTCGTCCAAGACAGATTTGTTTGTTTTTCTGGCATGGTACTTTCAATATTCTTTGTCACATCACAATTAAAATGTATCAGTTCTTCTCTGGTATTCTTTATTCACACATACATAGGTATTATTGTTGTGATTAGGTGCCGTTGAGATGGTTCTAACCCATAGCAACCCTATGTACAACAGAATGAAACACAGCCCAGTTGTACACCAACTTCACAATTGTTAAGCTTGAGCCCATTGCTGCTGCCACTGTGCAATCCATCTTGTTATGGGGGCTCTCTCTTTCACAGACCCTCCACCTTACCTAGCATGATGTCCTTCTCCATGGACTGATCCCTTCTGATACCATGTTTGAAGTACAAGACACAACATCTGGTTATCTTGGCTTCTAAGGAGCATTCTGATTGTACTTCTTCCAATACAGATTTGTTTGTTCTTCTGGCAGTCCATGGGACTTTCAATATTCTTTTCCAACACCATAACTCAAATGCATTAATTCTTCTATGATCTTCCTTTATTCATTCCAACTTTCACGTGCATATGAGTTTATTGCACAATACCATGGATAGGGTCAGGCACACATTAGTCCTCAAACTGACATCTTTGCTCTTGGACACTTTAAAGAGGTCTTGTGCAGCAGATTTGCCTAATGCAATATGTGTTCACTGCTTCTTTCATGAGTGTTAATGGTATACACACACACATACATATACACACACACATATATATATACTTACATATATACATACATGCACCTATGAAGAAGCTTCAAAAAAAGTCATGGAAAAATGGAATTAAGAGATAATGAAACTTTTTGAAACTTCTATACACACACACACATGCACACACACAGAAGCATGAGGGGACTTCAATAAATTCAATTGCCTTTTAATTCCATTTTTCATGAATTTTTTGGAGCACCCTCATATGTACATAGATGTGTGTACATACACACACACATATAAAGGAGCCCTGGAGCACAGTTGTATAAAGACTTGGTTGGTAACTAAAAGGTTGACAGTTCAAATCAACCAACAGCTCTGGAGGAAAAAGAGGTGGAATTCTTTTTCCATATAGATTTATAGCCTTGGAAAAGTTCGAAACTACCAGCTGTTCCATGGGAGAAAGATGAGGCTTTCTGCTCCCATAAAGATGTACAGCCTCAGAAACTCTGTACAGGGTTGCTATGAGTTGGAACCAACTCCATGGCATATAACTACTATCACCACCACCATGTAAAGTAGAAACCTACCAGTGAAGGAAAACTCAAAATGTTTTCCGCTCAAACAAGGGATAGAAAAGTGTCAAGACTTCACTCTATCAAAGGCAGAAAACTCACAAGCCCAGAAAAACAACGCAGTACTGTCTGGTTCCAGCACTCAGAGTGTATATATATATTTGTTGTTGTTAGGTGCTATCGAGTCGGTACCAACCCATAGCGACCTTATGCACAGCAGAATGAAACACTGCTCAATCCTGGGCCAACCTCACTATTGTTGCCACACTTGAGTCCATCGATGCTGTCACTTGGCCAATCCATCTCATTGGAGGTCTTCCTCTTTTTCTCTGACCCTCCCTCCACCTTACCAAACATGATATCCTTCTCTAGCAACTGCTCCCTCCTGACAATATGTCCAAAGTACGAGAGACAAAATTTGGCCATCTTGGCTTCTAAGGAGCACTCTGGCTGCACTTCTTCCAAAACAGATCTATAGGTTCTTTTGGCAGCCCATGACAATTTCAATATTTCCTCCAACACCATAATTCAAAGGCATCAATTCCTCTATGGTCTTCCTTATTCACTGTCCAGCTTTCGCTTGCATATGACGTTATTGAAACACCATGGCTTGGGTCAGGCACACCTTAGTCCTCAAGGTGACATCTTTTTCTTGCTCTTCAACACTATTAAAAAGGTCTTGTGCAGCAGATTTGCCCAATGCAATACATTGTTTGATTTCTTGACTGCTGTTTCCGTGAGTGTTGATAGTTGATCTAAGAAGAATGAAGTCCTTGACAACTTCAATCTTTTTTCTGTTGATAAGAATGTGGTTTATTGGTCCAGTGGTGAGGATTTTTGTTTTCTTTACATTGAGATGCAATCTATACCTAAGGCTGTGCTCTTTGATCTTCATCAGTAAATGTTTTGAGTCCTCTTTACTTTCAGCAAACAAGGTTGTATCATCTGCATATTGCAGGTTGTTAATAAGTCTTCCTCCAATCCTGATGCCATGTTTTTCTTCACAGAATCCAGCTTCTTGGATTATTTGCTCAGCATACAGTATGAATAAATATGGTGAAAGAATATAACCTTGTCACACGCCTTTCTTAATTTGAAGCCATTCAGTGTTCCCATGTTCTGTTCGAACAACTGCTTCTTGGTCCAGGTACAGATTCCTCATGAGCACAGTTAAGTATTCAAGAATACTCATACTTGCAATGTTGTCCATAGCTTGTCGTGATCCACACAATTGAAAGTCTTTGCATAGTCAATAAATCACAGGTAAACACCTTTCTGGTATTCTCTGCTTTCAGCCAAGATCCATCGCACATCAGCAATGATATTCCTCGTTCCACGACCTCTTCTGAATCTGGCTTGAACCTCTGGAAGTTCTCTGTCAATGTATGATTGTAGCTGTTTCTGTATTACCTTTAGCAAAACTTTACTCGCATGGGATATCAAAGAGATTGTCCGATGATAACTACATTCTGTTGGGTCACCTCTCTTTGGAATGGGCACAAACATGGATCTCTTCCAATCAGTCGGCCAGATAGTTTTCTTCCAAATTTCTTGGCAGAGATGAGTGAGTGCCTCCTGTGGCACCTCACTTTCTTGAAATATTTCAATTTTTATTCCACCAATTCCTGGAGCCTTGTTCTTTGCCAATTCCTTCAATGCACCTTGGACTTCCTCTTTCATTGGCTCTTGATCATATGGTACCTCTTAAAATGGTTGAACATTAACCATTTACTTTTGGTCCAGTGACTCTGTGTATTCCTTCCATCTTCTCTTGATGCTTTCTGCATCATTCAATAATTTGCCCAGAGAACCTTTCAATAATGTAAGTTGAGGCTTGAATTTTTTCTTCAGTTCCCCCAGTTTGAGAAATGCTGAGTGTGTTCTTCCTTTTTGGTTTTCTCATTCCAGATCTTTGCACATTTTATTGTAATATTTAGATATATCTTCTCGAGCTGATCTTTGAAATTTTCTGTTAAGCTATTGGACCTCCTCAGTTCTTTCATTTGCTTTAGCATCTCTACGCTGGAGAGCAAGTTTCAGTGTCTCTTCTGACATCCATTTTGACCTTTTCCTTCTTTCTTGTCTTCTTAATGCCTTTTTGCTTTCTTCCTGTATGATGTTCTTGATGTCATCCCACAACTCTTCTGGTTTTCGGGCTTTAGTTTTTAATGTATCAAATCTGTTCTTCAGATGATCTCTAAATTCAGGTGGGATATATTCAAGGTCATATTTTGGCTCTCGTGGACTTGTTTTCATTTTCTTCAGCTTCTGTTTGAATTTGCATATCAGTAATTGATGGTCTGTTCCACAGTCTGCCCCTGGCCTTGTTTTTACTGATGATATGGAGCGTTTCCATCTTCCCTTTCCACAGATGTAGTCAATTTGATTTCTATGTATTCCATCTGGTGAGGTCCATGTGTATAGTTGTCTATTATGCTGTCTAAAGAAGGTATTTGAAATGAACAAATCATTGGTTTTGCAGAATTCTATCATGCATTCTCCAGCATAATTTCTATCACCAAGGCCATATTTTCTAACTACTGATCCTTCCTCTTTGCTCCCAACCTTGGCATTTCAATTACCAGTAATGATCAATACATCTTGATTGCATGTTTGATCAATTTCAGATTGAAGAAGTTGGTAGAATTCTTCTATTTCATCCTCACTGGCTTTAGTAGTTGGTGCATAAATTTGAATAATAGTGGTATTTAACTGGGCCTCCCTGTAGGCACATGGATATTATCCTATCGCAGACAGTATTTTACCTTATGACGGATCTGGATATGTTCTTTTTGACAATTAATGCAACACCATTCCTCTTCAATTTGTCATTCCCTGCATAGTAAACCATGTGGTTGTCAGATTCAAAATGGCCAATACCAGTCCATTTCAGCTCACCAATGCCTAAGATTTGATATTTATGTATTCCATTTCATTTTTGACAACTTCCAATTTGCCCAGATTCATACTTCGTACATTCCAAGTTCCGATTTTCAATGGATGTTTTACAGCTGTTTCTCTTCATTTTGAGTTGTGCCCCATCAGCAAATGAAGGTCCTGTGGGCTTTTCTCCCACGAGATTGACTCCATTCACATTATCATGGTCAACTCTACTTTGAGGAGGCAGCTCTTCCCCAGTCTCATTTTGAGTGCCTTCCAACCTGAGGGGCTCATTTTCCAGCACTGTATCTTACAGTGTTTCTCTGCTATTCATAAGGTTTCAGTGACTAAAGATTTGGAAGTCATTCGTCACTCTTTCTTCCTAGTCTGTCTTTGTCTGGAAGCTCATCTGAAATCTGTCCACCATGGGTGACCCTGCTGGTTATTTAAAATACCAGTGGCATAGCTTTCAGAATTACAGCGACTCACAAGCCACCACAGTACAACAAACTGACAGACGAGTGGTTGCCATTTGGTTTTAAGTGGAAACTGTCACTTTAAATTTTGAGGAGATCTGTGCGCATGTGTGGTTTTAAGTGGAAACTGTCACTTTAAATTTTGAGGAGATCTGTGCGCATGTGTAGTAGAACCCTCCAGAGGTGGGAGTGGGGTATCCATTCACTCAGGCATCCCCTTTAATCACCAGAATGGAGGTGTGCAGACAGTGAGAGACCAATGGACTGATACCAAAAAAATGAATGTCCACACCTGTATCTCTGTGGTCCGTCAGGCATTCGTGGTTGTTCTGATCCTTCCCTGACTTGGTCTCTCCCAAGATGGTGGCTCTGGGAATAGCTGAGCATCTTGAATTAGAAAGCAATGGATTTCTTGATTCTGCTACAAATTCCCCTCACTGTAAGTCTTCCAATATTCTAAATATTCCTTTATATGTGGTTCAGAGTTCTAGCACCATCCCCTGAGCCTGCTTGGCCCAGTATTCTGTGTTGTTGGTGACGGAGCTCCTCACTGCACGTCTACCTGATCCGCCATATATATGGTCTTCAGGTGTCTTAGAAAAATGGAATGAAAAGACAATAGAATTTTCCCACAAACTTTTAAAAGTCCCCTTGTATAATTTAGCAAACACCTAGAAGTATTTATTATATTCCAGTGTGTTTTTTGTAATTAAAAACACAAAACAAAAAAATTTACAACCATGAGCTTTCCATATAATAATTCATATACATTTTGTTTCATGACATTGATTGCAATCCCCACAATGCACTAGCACCCTACCCGTTTCCTCCTTGGGTTTTCAGTTCCATTGGTCCTTCTTTCCTGCTCCTTCCTACCTTCTGAACTTTTTTGGGGGGCAAATGCTGCTTTTTGGGACTCATATGGTTGCTTATTCTAAGCAGTGCATTCCTCCTGGGTGTTAGTGTTCGCTTTATAGGCCTAGTGTTCATCAATGGAGTGAGTTTAATTGCAGGCTTGAAGGGTGTTGAAGGGCCATTTGTTGTTGTTAAGTGCCGGCAAGTCATTTCCGACTCATAACCACCCTGTATAGGGTTTCCAAGGAGCAGCTGGTGGGTTTGAACTGCTGACCTTGTAGTTCACAGTCCAGTGCTGATCCTACATTGCCACACCAAGGGGTTTTCACAAGTCTGTATCAGACCAGTAAGTCTGGTCTTTTATATGATTTTGAGGTTTTTTTCTACATTTCCCCCGCACTCTATCCAGGATCATCTATTGTGATTCCAATCAGGGCTGTCCATAGTGGTAGCTAGGCAAAATCTAGTTTTTCTGGTCTCAGGCTAGCAGAGGCTGAGATTTGTATGGTCCATTAGTCTTTTGATTTTCTTCATTTCTCTTTGCTCTGGATGGGAAGAGACCAATAGTTGTACCTTAGATTACCTCTCACCAGTTTTGAAGACCCCAGTCACTATTCACTAAAGCAGGATGTAGAACATTATCTTTGTGTACAATGTTACATCAATTGATATAAGTCCTTAAGTCCAGCTCAGGCATTCTTCTAAATACATTAAAAATGATAGCTCATGAATCCTCACAACAATCATATGAGATAAATGTGGTTTATAGCCCTTGTTTAGACACAAGGAAACTGAGGCACAGAGAGGTTAGGTAATTTTTCAAAGACAAGAAGCTAATATGTTGTGAAGTCAAGAAGAAAACCCAAGTAGTTATGCTCCAATCAGTGAAAGTATGAATAATTATTCTCTCCAAGGTGATTGTCAAAATACTGAGCAACCATTCCAGCATTGGCACCAACCAATCATAACAGCTATGGTTCTGGAGCAGAGTCTTGGAGGTTCTGTGCTTTGCCAGGATTTAATCCCTTAGTTTTAAGATCATGGAGAGGCCTAGGAGTTCCTAGAGAAAGGAGCAAAGTAGGAAAGGACAATGGCGGAACCACCAATGTGACTTGGCATATCAAATCTCCACTGGCAGCTATTTGTTGCTGTTGTGTTATACCATCAAGTTGATTCCAACTCAGAGTGACCCTGTATAGGGCTTCCAAGAGTGGCTGATGGGTTTGAACTGCTAACTTTGTGGCAAGCAGTCCAGTGCTTATCCTACAGTGCCACACCAGGGCTCTCTATCAAACCATATAAATAGTTTAGTCACTGATGTGACTGTACTGGGTGTATTAGTTGAATATCAGCCTTGGTTTTCTCTGTCATTCCACTGGGATTAGAAGAGTCAAATGATATGGTTTTAATGATACTTATTTCAATTTTTCTACTAATTTAATTCAAGTGGTTTCCTGCCATGGTGCTGTAGGATAATCACTAAACCATAAGGTCGGTTTAAAACACTCCAACCACTCCTCGGAAACCCTATACAGGGTTGCTATGAGTCAGAACCGACTTTATGGCACTTAACAACAATAGGATAGTGTGGATGATTAAATGAAAACATAGGCAAAGCTAGATAGCTCACTGTAGGACTGAAATACTGTTTATCTTGTTCTCTTCCTTTCTCCTGCTTGTAACCAGGAGAGCTTACAGCTGGTCAAGTGCCCTTCCTTTCACTGAGTCTGAGCTCAACTAAAGCTGTCAGTGCTTCAAAGAGAGAGAGCCAGTGGGCTGATAGATGCCATCCTCTAGACTCTCAGGAGTCAAGCAACAACTGCAGAGGTCAGCAAGAGAAAAGTCAGAGTCAGCAATCACACGTACAAGGAAATCTTTACCACCCTCAGGCTTGTAGAACCATTCCACCACCGTGGTTGCCTCCACCTCCTCCCTCTTCATACAGGAGATGCAGCGAAGCTTCATGTGTTCGCCCTGAACAGCCTCCGTCTCTGAGGGCACCTCCACACACACAGGGAAGCAGACACTGACTAGAGAGAAGGATGACAAGGAAGGAACAGGAGGTGTTGGGGAAGGGGCGGCAAGAGGAAGGCATTGGCAAGGGGGAGAAGGAGGAGAGATGGGAGAGACAGAGAAGGAAGAAGAATGAGACAAATTAGAAAATAGCCATTTGACTGTAGCTGTACCTTCATCTGTGCTCCCTGAGGGCACACTGTGTACGCAGTACTCTCAGAACAGACACCGAGTGAGATGAAGAGACACTGATGGCCCACAATTTAATGAGAGCAGTTTTCTAGAAGCAGTGTACATACAATACAGTATATAATTGAACCCTACCCTCAACAGACTTGGTGTCCAGATGAGGGTAAAGAACTTGCATGTGTGCATCATCCATCCATCCACCATTACCCATCCATCCATCTATTCAATCATTTAACATTACCTGAAAACTTACAGTATGCCAAAGTTGGATGAAGCACTAGCCATGCCCTAAAGGCCTTTATAATGTACTGGGGAACACCCACCCACCTGACTACAACTAAACCAGACCATGCAAGTGACATGTTAGTGACGTGCTCTGTTCTCAGAGGAGGAATCTTTCTGGTTGAGCTGGAGAGAGAGGAAGACAAGGATGATAAGACATGAGGCTGAAAGATAGGGCCCATGTTGTGAAAACCTTTATATGTTCTTCACAATATAAGGTACTGAATGTTTCAAAGCCAGGATGGATGCAATTATATCTGTATCTTACGAAAAATGAAGGTGATTGCTATAGAGTGGAGGACAAAGCAGCAACGAAGACGACAGTGAGCTGTTCGTTAAGTTGGAGCAGTTCTTTTTGCAGAGGAGAAAGAAAAAGCTAAAACTCTGGAGAGAGGTCAGCTTGTGAGGTACCTTGCATGCTCCAGAGAGGTTTGGACTTACAGTTCATGCTGTCTAGATGCTACTGACCTGTCACAAAAGACAAGCACCTCAGATTGCAAACTCAGAATGTGACAAAGAGGGGCAAGGCTGCCAACAAACCAAGTACAAATGTGGGCTGTGTTAACAGATGTACAGTGTGCAAAACAAAGGAGGAACTGTGCCTCCTCACTGTTCAGAACAAATCTGGACCACTCAGGATGTCACAGTTGACAAAAACAAATTGTTCAATGAGTACATGTGCACAGGAGAGCAAGACGGTTTCGCATCTTATCTATAGTCTGCAGGAGGACTTCCTGTCCCTGCATATGGACTATCTACCCAATAGAAAAAAGGACCACATCCAGGGAAAAATCATCAGACATATCCTCAGCAGGGAATGAGTCTGAATCTTGATTGTAGACCTGGTGAAAAAGACAGCATGACCTGCACAAACATTTGACATTCTGTCAAAAGAAGACAGAAGAGAGAACTTGGGATAGTACAGAGCCTGGGACACATTTCTTATCAAAGGACAGGTGGTCAAGATAAGCTGGTTCAGTCACAACAAGTTTGAAAGCAGAATAGGAAAGTGTCCTAAGGAATGTACAGTCAGATTATAAAGACAGGATAAAGATGGTATTCAGCAACTTAAGGCCAGGGTTTAATTTACTATTTAAGTTTCTGGAAACTCAGTTTATCCATCTACCTAATGGATGTGGCAAGGTCACAACAACAACAAATGGACTGGCAAGGTCAGTTTGAACCACTATGCTGGCGGTTCAAGCTCACCAGCCACTCCTCGAAAACCCTATAAAGGAGTTTTTATTGGTTGGAACCAACTTGACAGCACTTAACAACAACAATGGACTGGCACTGTAGGATAAGCACTGGACTGCTAATCCCAAACTTGGCGGTTTTAACCGATCAGCCAACCCTTGGAAACCCTATACAGGGTTGGTATGTATGATAACTGACTCCATAGCATTTAGCAACAGTAGAATTGTAAAGGAGTCCTGGTGCTTAATGGTGAAAGGCTAGGTGCTAGCTGTAAGGCCAGCAGTTTGAACCCACCAGCCACTTGACGATAGAAAGATGGAACAGTCTGCGTCTGTAAAGATCGGTGATGCTGGTCGTATGCTGTGGAGTCGGTTCCAACTATTAGAGACCATGACAGGGTTTCTGAGACTGTAAATCTTTATCTTGGAAACCCTATAAGACAGTTTTACTCTGTTCAATAAGGTTGCTATGATTCAGAATTGACTCAACAGTAGTGGGTATGTAATAGATTTGTCATAAGAAGTCTACGGAAGACTTTATGTGAACATACTTTATAAATGCATATTAAAATGTATCATTTTTATCCTTCATTTATTTGTACATTTAATCAACATATAAAAGGACTTCCAAATGTTTATGGAAAAAAATCCATTTTAAATTCCATTTTACCATGAATTTTTTGAAGCACTTTATATATATTGAGTACCTACTTTGTGCTAGGCACTGTTTTAGGTACTAGGGAAACAGCAGGGAACAAAGTAGAAATCATCCGTTCTCAGGGAGCCTACATTCTAGTAGAGAGGAGATAGAAAATGGTGGTGGTGGTTATGTGCCGTGGAGTCGGTTCTGACTCATAGAGACCCTGTACAGGGTTTCTGAGGCTGCAAATCTTTACAGAAGCAGAAGGCCTCATCTTTCTCTCATGGAACAGCTGGTAGTTTCGAACTGCTGACCTTTAGGTTCGCAGCCCGATTTGTAACCTCTATGCTACCAGAAAAGAAAAAAAATTGAATTGAAGTAAGTGCTATAAGGAAAAATAAAACAGAGAAGAGAAGATAGAGGAGAAGCCCTGTTGCTGCATTGGTTAAAAACTCAATTGCTCACCTAAAGGTTGGCAGTTCAAACCCACCAGCGGCTCTGTGAGAGAAAAAGGCCATAAATATTGTTGGTGTTGCTGTTATATATGCCATCAAGTCTGTTCTGACTCATAACAACCCTGTATAGGTTTTTTGAGGCTGTAAATCTTTACTGGAGCAGAAATTCTCATCTTTCTCCTGTGGAGCAAGTGGTGGATTTGAACAGTCAACACTGTAGTTAACAGCCCAATACGCAACCCATTATACCATGAGGGCTCCTTCATAAATATTGCTGTTGTTGTTGAGTGCTGTTGAGTCGGTTCCGACTCAACCCTGTATAGGGATTCCAAGGAGCAACTGGTGAGCTTGAACTGTCAACCTTGCAGTTCAAATGGCTTTGCAGTCTGGTAGAGTAACCCACAGTGCCACAACAGGGCTCCTCATAAATATGGAGAAGACATGCCAAAGAGAGGAAGCAGCATCTCAAGGGCCCTGGTATAGGAATGTGTTTGTAAGAGACAACAAGGACCTCAATGTGGAAAATACAGTGACCACAATGAGACTAGAAGGAGATGAGGTAGGAAAGTTCGACCAGGGCCAGATCTAACTGGAGGCTGGTCTTGTAGACCAGGATTAGGACTTTAACTTTTGCTTAGATTAAAATGGGGACATTGGAGGGTTCTAAGTGGAAGAATGGCATGAGCTGATTTTTTACAGAATTTGTAATCTGATGACCATGTTGAGAATAATAATGTAAAGGAGTGAGGGAGGAAGAATGGGGAACAATTAAGAGGTTGATACAGTGCGCAGACTGAAAGATGAATTTTCTTGAATGAAGATGGTAAAAATGAAGGTGTTGAGGTTTGAACAGAAATAATGTACTGATTTCATGTTCTTGTCTAGGTGAGAAGGCAAGTTCTGTAGAAGGTGGGTTGCTCTTTGTTAGGAACACAGTTAGTCCATTCATAGTTAATGGAGGGAGAGGGGAGATGGTACATAGGAAATCGGGATAGTGACTGTCCTTCAGTGTCTGCTTAATGCCACCTTCTCATGAGACCTTCTCCAATGGCTCTGTGTACTTCGCTTTCTCTGTTGTTGCTGTGTGCCATTAGACTCATGGCAACCCTCTGTATGACAGAGTAGAACTGTCCCATAGGGTTTCCTGGGCTCTAATATTTATGGAAGAAGCCTGGTAGTATAGTATAAAGTCGGGATAGTGAATGTGATATAGCAGAAATGTGAATTAGCCTCTCTCTTTCTTCAATTGCCCTGAAAGTAACAAGAACCCAAGCCCTCATCAGGGAGTAGGCCCCACTGCTCTTCTCCAGGCAAAAATCTAGTTTTAAGACATGAGAACTTTGGTCATGATATACTGGACAGTACATTGCAAATGTCCACAAATTCCATCCATCCCTGTTTGCATGCCCTTTGTAGTATTTCTGTCACTTATTTTGACTCATAGGATGTTTTGACACATGTGATACGATCAGAGGCTTGAAAAGGCCTTGCTTATTGAAAATGCTCTGTCTTGCTGCTGGTAACCCTTTCACCAAGCTGAGAACAAGCTTCTCTGTTGGAAGGTGAGAGATTATGTGAACTGAAGCCCTGGCAGACCCAGACGTCACGGACGATGCTCCAGACAAGAGTCCAGCCGCAAAGAGCTAGCCCACACAGGAAGAACATTCCAGTGGTTCACAGACCCATGACAAATTAGAATGTTGATTGTTTTAAGACACTATGTTTTGGGGTTGTTTGTTGTATAGCTATTTTAAAAAGGTATGTAGAGAGTCATCCCTTCCACCATCATTCTCTTATAGCCATACTTACTTGTGAATAAGACTAATGCTGCAGGATAAGGCACTGGACCACAAGGTCAGTTTGAGCTGCAAGGTCGGTGGTTCAAACCCACCAGCCACTCCTCAGAAACTCGATACAGGGTTGCTATGAGTTGGAGCTGACTCAACAGCAATTAACAACAACAACAATCAAATCAGTATTTATTCACCCTCTCACAAAATGTGTTCGCTTACTCTGTCACTCTGCCACTCTGACCTTTAGCTTTGATGATGGCTATGTAAGGAGCTCTGGTAGCATAGTGGTTATGAATCAGGCTGCTAACCTCAAGGTCAGCAGTTCGAAACTACCAGCTGTTCGGCGGAAGATGAGGCTTTCTGCTCCTGTAAAGATTTGCAGCCTTGGAAACCCTGTGCAGGGTCACTATGAGTTGGAACTGAGTCCACTGTACTTAACAACAACAACATAATTTGTATTAC